AAGTCATCAGAAGAATTAAAATTGAGAAGTCTAAAAGTAAATCAAATTTGGACCACAGACCTGAGAACACAGCCTTGAAGTTCTTTTGCATATGGTAGATGGAAGGCAATTTAGAAAGTTGAGAAGACACAGAGATAAAGGGGGAAATGCCTAAATCGTTTCTACTTTGCTACTGGGAGCAGAAGTTAGGGGATAGGAAAAACTATTGTATTCTACAGACAGAGCCCACTGAAACCTCTACACTTAGAAATAAGAGGCTTTGTTGTGTTCATTTAAGCCCCTCAAGGCTCTCTCAAGGTAACTGAGCTGTTCAGTCCCCACCTTTGCAGCAGGAAGTAATGAACTTCAGTAAAGAGCCCTGCTGCCAGGGTCGCTCAGGAGCGACCACAGAGAAGGAGGAAGTAGCTACTTGTGCTTTACTTCCTTGAAACAAGGTGGACGGTGGTGAGCTGAACCCAGAGGTGCAACCCTTCTTTGTCCTACGTGAGCGAAGCCCGGCAGCGCAGAAACCTGCATGCAAAGGGGAAAATTGATTGGAAGTGGAAGAGAAAACATGAAAGGAGTTAGGCAAATATCCTCTAACAAAGCAGGAGTAATCACGGCAGATGCTGAAAAATTCAGCAGTGGAATAAATTGAATAGAGAGATGGACCCAAGAGGCAGCGTGGAGACAGGTGGAAACGCACGGGAAACTGCTCTTATCGTGGGTTCGAACCAGGCTTTGCGGATTCATGCATGGCATCGTGTGTAGCTGTCCAAGACTTAACCATCAAGGTTCCAGTTACTCTGCAGTACTAACGTAGTTTCGGGGTAATTTTTATCAAGTTGGTGCAGATGCAGTGTCCGTGAAACCCAAGTTTCTGCCCTCTGGATTCTTAGATTCAGTGAGGATATCATTTGCCCATCATGCAGCGTATTCAAATACGCTGTGAAATACGTTGTGAAATACACAAATACGTTGTGAAAACGGAGTTAAACATTTTAAAGATGACCTCATAGCTTGTTGCCTTAGCTCATCGCCTTTCTTTTCTGTGTCTCTATGTCTGATTACTTCTCCACCGGTTTTCTTCTTCCGGATTTGTCTCCTTAGTCCTGATGCCCCTCCCCACAGCTACCATTGTCTTTCTCACTCTTATTTCACTGCTAGTTTTTTTTTTCCAGGAAGTGATCCAAAAGCCATTATTTCTGTCGCCTCTCAATCATTTCTTAGCTCCATTGCACCCTGCATCTACACTGCTCAGTGGAGCTGACAGTCAAATGCCAAGTATTATCCTCACCTAAACCTTCTTCTCAGTACATTCATGATGTTAAACTTATTTGTAAAAGATTAAGCACAGGGGCACCTGGGTGGCTCAGTCAGTTAAACATCCGGCTTCAGCTTGGGTCATGATCTCGTGGTTCCTGAGTTTGAACCCGGCATCGGCCTCTATGCTAACAGCACAGAGCCTACTTGGGATTCTGTCTTTCCTTCTCTCTCTCTGCCCCTCCCCCTGCGTGCCTTCTCTCTCTCTCTCTCTCTCTCTCTCTCTCTCTCTCTCTCTCTCTTTCTCACAAAAATAAATAAATAAACTTTAAAAAACAGAAGATTAAGCACAAAAACCAAGCTGTACTCCAAAATAAGACTGTGTGGGAGACAGTTTTCCAAAGATGTTTTCCCAGGACTCTAAAGAGACCATGAGCCAGAGAATGCAGGCAGCCTCCAGACACTGACAATGACCCCTGGCTGACAGCAAGGAAATGGGGACCTCAGTCCTACAACTGCAAGGAACTGAATTCTATCAATAACCTGAATGAGCCTGGAACCAGATTCTTCTCTAGCAGCTCCAGAAAGGGACACAGCCCTGCTGACATTTCGATTTCAACCTTGTGAGACTCCAAGCAGAGAATCACATTGTACCATATTGCACCCAGATTTCAGACCCGCAGCAACTATGAGATAAATAAATGTGTGTCGATTTAAGCCACCAAATGTATGCTACACTGTTACAGCGACAATAGAAAACTAATACAGATGAACAGATCTGTTTCTCAAATTTCTGATGTCTTAGCATTCAAATTCCTGTTTCTTCTAAAGTATGGTTAATGTTTCCCATCTTAACTAACTTCTGAATATCCAGACTCTCATGTATTGAAAATTGCAAACTTACTCTCTCTGGGCACCATGGAGCCAGACTTTTGTGCACATATCTATACGAGAATTTGTGTGTTCGTGTATTTTGTGTGTATATGTATATGCATATGTAGGTGTCTCTGTACATAAATACAACCTATGTAGACCTGATAAATACTAACCGTACTCAGTAAATGCTTATATATGCAGACATATAGGAATTATGTGTGTGTATATAAAATATAGTTTTTTGCTCAAGGCCAGGTACTACTATGTATTACTTCACAACAAACTTATAAGCTGTATACTCACAGCTCCACTGAATATATAAAAAACAGGCAGACAGAGGTCAAGTAACTTGCCGGAAGTTATCTGATCGATGGCTGAAGAGTATTCAAATATAGATCTGTCTGGATCCAAGACTGAAAGGTCTTTATTTTTCATCTTGCTTTTCTTTCATGCTGAATCTCTTTGGACATTCTAGGTCCTACATCCCCCTCTGCCCAGATGCCCTGTACCACCTTCCCTGAACTCCTTACCCCATGCACCTGGGTGCACTACCCTGGCAGTTTTCCCCCTTTATCTCTGTGTCTTCTCAACTTTCTAAATTGTCTTCCATCTACCATATGCAAAAGAACTTCAAGGCTGTGTTCTCAAGTCTGTGGTCCAAAATTTGATTTACTTTTAGACTTCTCAATTTTAATTCTTCTGATGACTTGCAGCTTCACATCTCCCACACCGACTCTTTTGTGAGTTCCAGGCACACATACAGCAATGGTGCTGGACATGTCTGCTTTCCTATCTTCTTGACCAAAACTCCAATATGTCTACATCAGCATTAGTAGGAAAAGAAGTCCTCTCTCCTTAGTACCCTATGCCCCACAGTCATCCATCTTGATCGCAAACTCAGAAACCTGCTAGCGTCTTCAAACCTCCCTTCTGGTTGAGAGCACGGGCTCTGGAGCTGGATTGCTTTGGTTGAAATCCCATCCACGCTACTTATTTCCTTTGGGACTTTGGACCAATCGCTTACCTTCTCAGGACCCAAAGAGCTTCCTCTGTAAAAGCAGGGTGATGATAACAGTAATAATAATACCTAGCTCACAGGGCCACTGCATGGTTTGAAAAGGTACTATAAACTTAGATCAGCACCCAGCACCCAGTACTTGCTCAGTAAGTTTCACCTACCATTCATTTTCCATTTAATTGCCACATCTTCGTTTATGATTTATGTTTCTGTTGCCCAGTTTTCTACCCTCCACCATTCTGTGTGATCATCTGGATTAATACAAACTGCTACCAAATGAATCTTCCAGAGGCCTTATTTTCATTGTAATGCAGAAATCCTTCAGTGGTTTCCCATGGCTTTCTGGATACAACGGGAACTTCCTGATCTTGGCATTCAAAGCTTTCCATGAACTGGCCCCTTGCCTCTCTTTTCAGTTGTTCCTACCTCTCTTCTCCCACTGAACCTTGGCTGCAGACAGGATGGACTTCCTACTTTTTTCTTAAACACACTGTTTAGGCCTGCTTGATAGCATTTGTAGTAAGTAGTCGTTACGCTTACTGTGTACGATGCAATATGTTGACCCTGTTAAGTGTCACATCATTTATCCCCACCAAAACTCTTGGAGGTAGTTACTGGGCTATCCCTAGTATATGAGGGACGAGATGAGAAAACTGAGCCCTGGAGAGAGTGAGTGACTGTCTGAAGTGTCTATAGTGAGGCATCTGCGAACGTGGGATTTGAATCCAAGTTGATTCCAGATCCCGTGATTGTAACCATTCTGTCTTATGCTTTCTTTATGCTACATTCCTCTTTCCTGGGGGATCCTTTACCCTTCTCCCACCTATCAACCAAAGTCTTCCTTAGGTTCTACCTTCACTATAAAGCTTTCCTAGATTCCTTCAAACTCTAGCGAACTCCTTGGTCAGGTTCAAGCTTCTTCGGGCTAGGAAGGGCCTGTTGTATTTCTCGTGAAGCTGGCAGTTCCTTGAGTGTAATACTTAATAAATTCTGATTATGAATTGGTACCAGATTGCTTTACTAATGAGCTTGACAGTGAGTCCTGGTGGTTGAGCCAACTAACCTCTGACTTCCCTTTATTCCTGTTTTTGCCCTAGGTAGCCTTTTTTTTTTTTCACCCAACACATATCTGAACCAGTGGAAGTCCCCAGTGGTGCCATCCTGTGGGACACCCCACTCCTTGCTACTGGATTTCCCCCTCCTTTGCAGTCACCCCAAGTTATGTCTATCTGACAACTTCATATGTGGCCCGGCAACGCCTCCTTCTGCCAGTACATAAGGGAGCTGCAATGAACAGCTAAGCAAGAGGAGAAATGAGTCATTCTCATTTTGCAGAAGTTGAGGAGTGGGAGGGACTCCAGGATAAAGAACTGTGGCGCCTGAAGAGGAATAGAGGAAAGACTGGATGCAAATATTGGAAAGAGAGGAAGTCACACAAGAGTTGCTCAATATTATTAAATGCTTCATTACAAGACAACATTCCTACCTTCTAAAATCATGTGTTAGGGATATAGGCTACGATGGGTAAGAGGGTCCATGGATGGACTTCCAAGATTTGTGACCTCCAACCATGCATGCACCTTTCCTTTTTTTAATTTATTTTTTTTAGTTTATTTATTTTTTGAAAGAGTGAGAAAGGGAGAGCAAGGGAAGGGCAGAAATAGTAGGAGAGAGAGAATCCCATGCAAGCTCCAAACTGTCAGCATAGAGCCCAGTGTGGGGCTCAAACTCATGAACAATGAGATCATGACCCGCGTTGAAATCCAGAGTTGGATGCTTAATTGACTGAGCCACCCAGACACCCCCATGCATGCACATTTTCTGAGTACTTACATCTTTCTGTGAGTGAGTCTATAGTTTTTACTAGTTTCTCAAACGGGTCCATAAAAAAAAAAAGGGTGGTAAAATACTATTTTCAGATCTTAAAATAGAAACATAATCTTACCCCAGGAAATCAGGTGACCCAGAGGTGGACTCTGATAAAGTCGTATAAAGAAAAAAGTAAAAAAAAAAAAAAAGAAAAGTTAAATCTGAAAATTCTCCATGTGCTATGATATGCCTGCTCATCTAACAGTTGCTGAAGAGTTACGTAGATGGTATAATGTGTTTAGAGCTAACGACATACAGTGAAATTGCTAAATATTCAGTGACCACAGATCAAAAGGGCTTCTGCTACATGGAATCTTTGTTTGCCTACTTAAGCCAGTTTTAAAGTAATGATACAGTTTACTTCCCCATTTTTTATTTTTATCATCTCTTACTATGTTTCTCATAGTTCTTTAAAGAAGCTTCCTCAGTGCCCACACTTGGACAAGGAAGGATCGGCATCTCTCTTTCTCTATCAGTTTGAGGCACGACAAGGTTGAGATAAATGAGTTGCTCAAGTCCGAGGTATATGTATGTGCTTCACCCAAGTCCGGTTATTACTGGAGCAAAAGGAGTGGCCTGTGTCAGTAAAAAAGCAACTTCGATAAAGAGGAAGGCTCATTAAATAAGCAGATGGCTTCTATTTAGGCCATTGGTGTTTGGACGAGCCGGTTAAGTGAGAGTTTTCCTGAAGATCACCACCTTCGCTACAGAATCTAGAACCATGTTTGCCAAAGGGACTTCTCAGGGTCAGATGAGAATGTCTTATTCCAGTGTCTCTGTGCCCAAAACAAACAAACAAACAAAAAGGTGGGGGGCAGAAAGCCACAGTTTTAAGTTGATGGTCAAAAGAGTCTTTTCTGGGACCACTCACTTCTGGGTGGCCTCATGCAAGGCAGCCATCCCGCACCTGGACTCTTAAACGTGTTGAGCGCTAGAGAGAGAAGACAAGGCTCTGGAAACAAAAACCTCGAGAACAACCACAGTGTATTTTGCTCGTCGTCTCCCGCTGCCCCAACACTCCCCCTTTCTGTCTGTGGTTGAATCCTACTTCCGGCTAGGGCAGGAGCAAAAGGTATCAGTGAGTCAGCAGCCTCGTTATTTTTCTTTCTTAAAGTTCAAAACTCTCAGAATACTGGGAACCTTTTGCAAAGAAATTGCTCTCCCGGTTAAGTGTCGTATCTGTATCCGCAGTGCATGTCTTATTGGACTCTGCACAGATGTGCCCTTGACAAATGCCTTTGGAACTGACCCTGTCTGTTATAAAAGCAGGCATAACGACTCTTCATAATGCTTCTCCCTCAGGACTCACCGCCTGGGAAGGTTGGCAGGGCTTGCTTCTGTCTTGGTGGTCATGGAGATCAGACCTCAGTGGACATATTCCTTCGACCATCTTTATAACCCACATAATGTCTCACGGGCAAGCAGTGGTTTCATCAGACTGGTGGGCACCACTGGAGAGTAGGCTCATCCTGCAGTGAAGAAACAAAATCTTTTCGGATCCCATGTTTCAAGTGTCTAATCAATTAATTCCTAGTCCCATGGCCTTTAAATGTTTCTTACCTCATGCACCTAGTAGACAAAATTTGCCTACATTCCCATAGTCTCTGAGTATGTGTACGAATTCTGTTGTTCTTATCAATAGCTAGTATTTCAAAACACAATATACATGTGGGACAAGGTTCATTGTTAGGCATAATAAATGTGAGGCCCTCATTTATTCTTTCATTAAACTTAAGAGTTTCATACTGAGAAACTTCTGGATGCCGAGCTCTGCTGTCATCACTGAAGATACGGTGAATGAAAACAGACAAGGGGCTCAGTTAAGCGTGCGACTTCATCTCAGGTCATGATCTCATGGCTCCTGAGTTGGAGCCCCGCGTCAGGCTCTGTGCCGACAGCTCAGAGCCTGGAGCCTCCTTTGGATTCTGTGTCTCCCTCTCTCTCTGCCCCTCCCCAACCTGTGCTCTGTGTGTGTGTGTGTGTGTGTGTGTGTGTGTGTGTGTGTGTATGTGTGTATGTTATTTATTTCTAAAAAATAAATAAACATTTACAAAAGAAAACAGACAAAATTTCCACTCTCATGGAGCATAGAGTCGAGTGCAGGAAGAGAAATCATAAGCAAAATAAATAAGTACAATGTATGGTAGTGTCACAGGCTAGCAAGTGTCATGGAGAAGAATAAAACAGGAAGGAGAATTCAGGTGCTTTTGAAGGGAGAGTTGCATTTTAAATAACCCAGAGAAAATACAGATTAGGGAATTAACTATTTAACAGTTTGTAACCATCTGACTGAGAATCAAGGTATCCTCGTCAATGTCTATCACCTTACATAGCAGTCAAGTACAGTTTCTTTTTTTTTTTTTAATTTTATTTTAACCTTTAATTCATTTTGAGAGACAGAGAGAGACAGAGTGCAACTGAGGGTGGGGCAGAGAGAGAGGGAGACACAGAATCTGAAGCAGGCTCCAGGCTCTGAGCTGTCAGCACAGACCCCGATGGGGGCGTCGAACTCACAGACGGTGAGATCATGACCTGTGCCGAAGTCAGGCACTTAACCGATTGAGCCACCCAGGCGCCCCTCAAGTACAGTTTCTTTATTTAGATAACCAATATCAGTAGAATTCTAAGTTCTCCTTGTGTCCTAAAGTGATCATCTTGGAAGACCACTAACTTAATCTACACTTACCTGCGCAACTGCTTGAAACAGACTTCTCAGATCCTAGGTATATTATGACAGTTTACCTTTGGGATCTAGCCAGGATGATGAAGTTCGGTGGCTGTGTAGGTGGCAGACGTGGAGGCCTACAGTCAATCAGCTCTTTGATCCAATCTTGATTTGGTTCCACAGTTGATTTTTACATCTTATGGTTTGTTTGGGTATGAGCAATTCTCTTAAATGTCCAAAGCCATTTTTATGTTATTGTCTTACTTTAGACAAGGTGATTAGGGAGAATATACGCACAAAAGCTTACTTAACTCAACAGCTGGTAGTTACAGGAAGCGGTAACTTGGTTTTCTTTTCCTTTCTGTTGAGTTCTGTTAGTGTAGCATGAGCATTTCCCGTTTTACCAGAGAAGGAGGATTTGTTCGGCCTGGTGAAGCTTCAGAAGGAAGGTGTTTAACGAAATTGGTATTGTTAAATATTTCACGACTCGAGGAACAGGATACAATGAGCTTCCGAGGAAAGGTCTTTAAACGGGAGGCCAGTGAATTTCGGAAGAAGAGACGAACGGTGAGGAGAATAAATCAAGAAGAAATCCACAGATTTACCTCTGTAGGTATCCACATGTCAATGTTTGTTTTTCGTCTTTTCTTCAATACTTAAAAAAGAGAGATCGATCCTGGGGTGGTGTTCTAACATAGGCTGTGGGCAAGGTCCCAGACAGAACAGAATATTCTCTTTGGCTCATGAATATCCTCTTTTACTTACATCATTATTTTTTAATTACTTGTATCATTGTTTTAAAACATATGGAGAGAGGATTGAAATAGCTAAACAATTACTAGAATCTTTTCATTTTTAAGGAAAAGCCTACAATGACCTCCATTAAGACTTTGACCAATGACTTGTGTGGAATTGTGGGTTTTTTTTTTAAATTACTGCTCTATTTTGATCACATATCACTCATTTGTTTTAAAATCCTGAGAACAGTCCAAATTATGAAAGAAAGTATAAATAAATATTTGATTAAATGAGCCAAGTAAGAAAGTAAAAAAAAAAAAAAAAACAACTAATAGGTTTCAAGGGTTAAAACAGTTGGGTTTGTTTATGGCTAAAAATGTTTCTGCCTGATTATTGTTTGCAAAGAAAATGGGTGCTCTGGAAATGTGTACTTATTATGGAATTCTAGATTTCTATCTGTAAGAGCTACCACAGTTGAATGTCAGAGCCTGTTGCTGGAGTGCATCTGTGACCCACATGGAACGCGGAAGGCCCACTTTGTATGATAAATGGCCACGGCACATGACCAGGCAGCTCTTTTTACAGAATGTTCTTTTACAAAGTAGTTCAGGGTTTGCTTGCTTTCTTCAGGGCAAGGGTTCTCAACCCCGCCACTATTGCCTTCTTGGATCCGAGATTTCTTTCTTGTTCCAGGCTTCCCTGGGCGTTGTGAGATGATGGTTAACGACATCCCTATTCTCTACCCGCTGGTTGCAAACGCTCCTCAATTGTGACAATCAAAAATGTGTCCAGGCATTGTCAGATATCCCCTTGGGCAAGGAGGGTGATCGTCCTGGTTGAGAACCCCTGCTCTAGGGGTAAAAATCTTTTTTGTTCGTATCATCGTCTTTAATCTAGAAACAGAGCAGCTTTAAAAAACATTACATAGGTGATGATGTAACGATTATTTATGAATAGTCATTTAGTGCATATGAATAATCAAATTAATAGTCACTTAACCCTTGATAGGCCCAAATCAGGTGCCAAATATGTCTCCAGTAATAGTGGTTCTCTTTATATTTACCATCTATTTGGTAGTCATTTAACACGAATAGCATTTATCAGAGGTCTGGCTCATAGCATTTGCGACGTGTTGTTGTTCGATCGGTTTCTGTCTCTGTGTCTCTGTAGTGCATGTCTCCCGTTGAGAAACATGGGCAAATGAGCCTTTCCACCTTGTTCCCATATCTCTCTACCCAGTGTTTCATAAGTGGAATGTGCAGAGTCCTGAACCCAACCTCTGGGTCACCATGGGGCCCCGAGGGTCCCCAGCTGTGTCTTGTCTACTGGCCACCCAGTAAACATCATCAGTTTTTTACTTTTAGCCTGTGAAAGAGGATACGTGTTTGAAAAGCTTGTTTGGTTTGGGATTCGTTTAACCTTTAGAACAGTCCAAAAACTATACTTTCCCCGTTGCCTTTCGCTCGGTGGAATTCAGAAGTCCCGTGGACGATGCCACTGTGAGGGTGACTTCCTGTGACCGCTAGGAGATGACATACTGGAGAAGAACATGTCTATCTCACGCAGACCACCCATACAGCTTGGCAACAGGACAGTCCCCAGGGTCTTACCATATAATGAAGCTAATCACTCTAGGAATTATCTTAATTGAATTTGAAGGCATTGCTACTAAGCACTATGGGAAAAGCAGCCTGTAAGGACAGAGTTCTCCCACAGCGGTTAGTAGCTGTGCATTCACATTTAATTAAGATCATTCATACAGTGATTAGCTTTCTTCGGTGGAAGGCACTGGGGACTTCCTGCTAGCTACCGCCACCAGCCTTGGTCTTCCTGAGATAGGCTATCTCCTTTTGCAGAGTGTCTCTTCTGTCGACTGGGGTGTTTCTCAATCCATCCTGAAGTCTCATTCCCAGATGTGGTTTTTATTTTTGGAAAAAAGAATCCAAAGAAGTGAAGCACGTGATTAGATGGGGGGTCATTCTGTCCGACCGTCTCACCTACTCTCCGTAGGACCTTGAGTATATTACAGAAATTACTCTGAACCTCGGTTTACTCTGCCCCAAGATGTTCGTCACAATACCTGTCTATCGTAAGATTGCTTATTGGATTTCAGTTTGACCATGTGCCTCCTGAACGTGATGTGAACACCGTAAAAAGTGGGGAGTAACCGCGTCACGTCTGTCGTATTAAGAAAACCAAGTAAAGTACTTCCATTTCCAAGGGCAAGGGAAGAGGGATTATAATCGTAGTGAGAACGCCTTTTCAGTGACTGTGTATTGAAGCCACTGGACTATATAGGTGACTCCTTCCTCCTGGGAGCCTTGCACAAAGATGAAAGGTGACAGAGTCACTCAGTAGACAAGATGGGCATTCAGGGGTCCCAGATCGCTCTATGCGTTGGTGGACCCTGCCTTAGAAACGTCTTGTGTTTTTTTTTTTCCCCACCCGTGCACTAATGCACACAAAGCCACATTGGACTTTCCACAGCATGATTATCTAAGCTTTCTAAAAGCTAAACCAGTATCTCTAGACAAGCTTCAGAGACAGTTTTGATAGGTGATAAGGAAGAAGCAATTCAAGTGGCAAAAGGCCCAACACGTGAAGACATGGCCTGAGGTTATCTCAGAGAATAAAAACAAAAAAACTTCCTTTTGAATTTTTTGGATATACTGATATTGGAGTGAAAGGAGAAATAATGACCGCTCTGGATAATTATGATAGGTTATCTGTTTTTATAATGGTCATGTAGATTTCGAATGCCACAAACCTTTTCCTGCTCTAAGGCAGATTTAGAAATGGTTTCATTTCACAGTAATCTAGAATACTTCACCAGAACACTGTGACTTCCTAAAACGCGTACAACCCAGACTTGGTACTCTCAGGACACAGACCAACAGTTGTGTTTATTTTGTTTTCTTCAGATGCTATTTGAAGCTGTTTATCTAACTCTGTTGGAATTTTTAATTGTTTTGGAAGTTTCCCTCATTAATCCTGTTTTCAAGTGAACTGGCTAAGACATGGCGTCACCTATTTGAATCCACTTGTCACAGTCAATATACTGTATGAGAGCAACTGCATTACGAGAGAAGTTCAAGGAAAATTAAACCTCTTCGTTAGATTGTCAAGTAGAACTACTTCTGTTGATTTTTCTAGTGTGCATGGTACTCTGTAGATGTTTTTTTAAACTGGCTTTCTATTTTTATTTATTTATTTTTTTAACCAAATCATTCGGTGTGATCTCTGGTACATCGGAAGTCAAAAAAAAGATCACTTCCTCCCTAAATCGCATGTCCTAATTTGGAAAGATTAAATACACGATTAAGTTGAATTAGTATATCAATCATCTGCACAGTCAGGGAAAAAAATGAAAAATTCATTTAAATAAATGTGTGTTGTTATTTTTAAGTTATTACTGGTTTGTGGGTCATGAATCGACAGGATTTGAGACTATTTGGAGAACTTTGGATACACATGAAAATCCTTGCTCTCCTGCATCAGGCTCTGGGCTGATGGCTCGGAGCCTGGAGCTTGTTTCCGATTCTGTGTCTCCCTCTCTCTCTGCCCCTCCCCCGTTCATGCTCTGTCTCTCTCTGTCCCAAAAAATAAATAAACATTGAAAAAAAAAATTAAAAAAAAAAAATCCTTGCTCTCCTCTTTCATAATAGCCTATTAGCACTTCAATAGAAAATTGAAAACTGTTGGGGCACCTGGGTGGCTCAGTCGGTTAAGCATCTGACTTCAGCTCAGGTCATGATCATGATCTTGTGGTTCATGAGTTCTAGCCCTGCTTTGGGCTCTGTGTTGACAGCTCAGAGCTTGGAGCCTGTTTCGGATTCTGTCTCCTTCTCTCTGCTCCTCCCCTGCTCATGTTTCTCTCTCTCTCTCTCTCTCTCTCTCTCTCTCTGTCTCATTCTCTCTCTCAAAAATAAACAAATATTTAAAAAATTAAAAGCTGTAGAAAGATAATCTAATCTGAACATCTTTAACATATCTCTCACATACATCATTTTTATACAATGTATTGCGCTATATATATAGTCCTTTAAGTGCATTTTTAATCTATTTTTCCATGTTTATGTGAACAGCCTTTCTCCCTGGTCATCTGTACCTCCTTCTTACTGCCACTCCTTGTTCCATACAGACATTCACAATTACCTGTTTGAGCTATTTCATAATGAGCCAATTAGCTGAAAGGAAGCACAGGCAAGGGTCCCAGGATTATGCGCGAGGGTAACAAACAATGAAACAGGACTGAATCCGGGTTCAAACAATGGAAAGTAGGGCTAAGAGCTATAAATGGACGGTTGAAGAAAGCAAAAAAAAGCTGGAGTCATGGGTGGGGGGATCTGAATTCAATCCAGGCCGTGGAAATGGAGTAGTGTAAATTGAAACTTGATTTAACCCAACAGTCTAGGCAGGGGACTCTGATGACACCCTTTATTACCTCTGAGCGGGAGGTGGACCGTTGGTCCGGGAGGGAGTAGGGCACAATGGGCAGAAAGTAGCACCGTGATCCCAACAGATCTTTTTGTTCCCCAGATGGTGGTTGTGGCCCAAAACTTTTGGAATCTGGAGATTCTCTCAATTAGTGGCAATTTCCGTTGGATCTGTGACACAAATATTAGCTAGCATTCTGTATACACTGCCTTAATATCCCTTTCATTTCCTATTCTCCATCCTCCTTACCCTCTTATAAATATTTTTCTGTCCTCTTCCCTAAGGTGCCCAGTGACTTCACCTTGTCGCAGCTCACAAAGGGAGCAGGAATCATACTCAAGACTATAGCTGTATTTCAGCAGCCTCCCTCCGAGAGAGCGGGGGCAGAGGGGGAAGCTATTGTGTTTCCTCTTCCTGCAGCACTGTGACTGGTG